GCTGCCTAGACGAGACCGACCACAGAAGGCTACTGCTGGACACACGGACCAGCGTTCATGTACTAGTACCAGTGACAGTAAAATACTAGCTGTTATCCCATTCTGTCTTCTCTTCCTAACACGCACTGGGGGAACATAACCGGTGTTGACACAGGAACACACTCGGTTACAACATCTTGATTTACGCGTGGGCTAGGAAAATCACACACAGGGGACTAGGCTTCCAGTCAGCAGCCGCTTCGATTCTGTACGGGGGCGTTATAATCTGTATGCCAAGGCCAGTTTACTCTTACGATTAATGTACACCCATTCTGGTAGTTCATATGGCGAAAGTGATTGACATAAAGGATCACTGGTAGAGATTGCTATTACGCCCTCCCCCCGACCCAACTCCGGCAGCAAACGGGATCAAACACCGCCCGTAGGTACTTTGGCATTAAATTCCAGAGACAATGGGGTTAGGTTAGAGTTAAAGTGAGCCTTGCAGTTTCGGCTGGAGTTTGGGTAAGAGAAATGGCACGAGAATACTTCGACTTCCTGGAATTTGGTGAAAGGCCATCTGTATTATATCGTAGGATTTCCCGTTCTCGTGTCCTGTCGGATGAAGGCCACACAAGCTATGCTGGGTGGAGTAACACCCCGCTGCAACCGGGTTGGAATCTTAGGTGCAACGGCATCTTCTCATGCTTTTTAATGATTGCACGTAATCCAGAAATGGTCTATCGCAGGGGGTTAAGTAAGTTAAACCCTAACAACTGCTATCTTCAAGCCCAGTTTCGTAGAAGAAGAGAAGATTTGGGAGGCCAGAGTGGTAAGAACAGTTTATTCTGTACAGAAGGAATGCAGAATAGGCAAGAGAAATTGGACTGTCAGACGAGCGAGCAACCGCCGGCCACAGCGTCTGGAGCGGCCTTTGTGTTAGTCGGTCTTGACAGGTGATTGGTCAGAAGGATTGGCTAGACAAATGGGCGTAGGTGACCACAGCATGTGTACTCACTGGCGGCGGTGAGCCTTGGCGCATGCTTGCCTGCCCGGAATGAGTAACCACAGGCCATTCAATTATCCCCTCTTTTTGCTAATGGAAAACCTAATTGTCATTCGCATCTAACTGCTACCCAACTGGCAGCCAGCCAAATGTTTTGTCACACGCAGTGATTATTCTTTACCGCTCCTACCCGACACTCAACTCCCATTATGGACCCATGAAGCTGTGCCTCACGGGGACAGCAATTCTGACAAGCATTTTGACTGGCAAACGCCAACTGTGTCTCCATCTCTGTCAGATTCTTACGTAAGTGTATGTGTGTGTTCCCGTTTTGTAGTAAATACTGGAGTATGTGTTTAGTGGAGCAGGTCGTTCCTTTGGCATGCGCAGACGAAATCCGTGGTCACTGCGTCCATTCCCCAGACCAGAAAACTGACTGGCTCGAACAGTGCCTGAAACTTGATAATGGGAATACAATGCGAGGTTAACGGCTCAGCGCACTTATCTCATTGTAAATGATCTGATGTGCTCGATACTATCAAGGTGCGTTAAAATTCGCAGCTTCGTAGGTTGCCAACTGGCCAGATAACGCTCCTATCACAGTCGACCTAGTGTGAGTTTGAGCTTACTGGCCAACTGATAGACTGAGAGGCCGGTTGCAGTAAGATCTGTGGTCCTACCACTCACTGGGATCTGAGCCGGTGTAATAGCAATTTTAGAGGCGGTTCCGATCACGTCAGCCACCCGTGCACTCTCCCGTCTGCGATCTTCATGAATTGGATATGACACCGGGCCCAGGTGGTGGAGGAGTGTCTGGTAGATGTAGCGCAAGCCTATTACCACATTAATCTTATTCACGCGCAAGTCATCCGCCATCTTGCTGTGGAGCATATGGTGGACCTCACTGGGATCGACAGTCGAATCTTGTTTTCAGGAGAAGGTGGATGCCACCATCTGTTGGCCTGTGTGACGAGACTCACACGCAGTCAGTCTTTGTTTCTCCCTTCATTTCCAGACGTACTGACATAATTTTGCACCTGGAGGTTTCTACGTAGGGGGGGGAGGGCTTTAAAGGGTGGGCTAATTAAATACGGGTTCGCACAGTCTGCGCAACGGAGCATTTCGTAATTCTCATCGACTGAAAGCTGGTTTGATAAATGGTGATCGGGGCCGCACCTGCCAACCCCCCCTCCCTGAGTCTCGCTTTTGCGCAGAAGGATATCTGAACGAAATGTATGTAGGATACACCCTTTTCTTGACCGGTCCTTCAAAACAACAGCAGCGCGCGGCTAGGGTCGCTCTCACCATCGAACCACAATTGCACTGTATCAAGGACCGCCATAACGCTGCAAAGCGTCTGCGCCGTGGGAAGAAGTGCACCACCTTTATCATCTTGGCAGCACCGAACCCTAGCGTCATGACAGATGAGAACTGCAAAATTCAGCATCCCCTATTCGTGTCTGTGTGAACCTTAGACTAGCTGATTATTGCGAGAAACTACACTGCATGATTTATCACTGAGCTGACGCAGCCACTGACTTTCATGGGATAGGAAACTAGAAAAGCAACGATCTTCTATCGCTGAAGACCTGTTTTTCGGAGCTCTGAGAGCTTCCTGCTTTCACGATCATCAGCGCCATCGCTTACTCGTGTCGCCTTCGTGGGTGTGAAAAGCTCCACCGATGCCGTAGTGCCAATCCGCATTTCCCTCCTCATCGATTTTTGCAGCAAGAGAATATACGCGATCGAATGACGTGTCGATCATAGCCAAGGCGCCGCAGAGACGAGACTCCTTACTCAAACGCTATGACCTCAGAGGGAAAACAACACCGAAGAAGTTGAACACTGCAATACTGGACCACGTTAAGCACACACACACACACACAGAGGCAAAACGAATGCTACCTTGGGTTTCAACAGTGGTATTCGTCTCCTGACTTTTAATTTCCTCCACGTTGAGGCTAGAATTAATTGCCTTTCAGTCGTATCACGTAATGCATTTTTTAACTTACCTGATGTTGGTTTACCTTGTTGTAGCCTGAAAGATTGCAGTATCTACCTGATCTAAGATGTGACTATCATAGCCCACATCGCCCTTATCTCGATCACGCCTCTAAACAAGGACGTATTCCAGCAGCCACAATAATGCGAGAGAGGCCGCACTTCTTTTAATGGCTTCCCAAGCTAGATTTGTGCCGCCTCAGTCTCTTCATATCAGTCCAACAAGGAGAACAACGAACAGGGTCGTAAAGGAAAGAAAGTCGTTTACTGTGTGCCTCGAACGGGGCTATATGATAAGGAAGGTAAAACGTTCTCTGCGACCAGGGGTTTATTTGTCCGACGTTTCGAACCCTCCCGCGAGCTCATTGTC